ATATATATAATAAAATCTGCATTTAAAATTTTTAATGTTATAATAGCCACGATGTGATATGAACATTAATACATAAAAATTGGGCGGTACATATGTAAATGGCCCTTCATGATTACTTTGTGTTTGTTAAGAGAAGTCATGTCCAAAATGGGCAATTGCCCCCTTGAAATTTTTAATTTCTAATATAAATCAATATTTAAATTTTTAGAAAATAAAAAGTTTGGGGTAGTTGTAGCTTATTGAATAATCTTCTGATAAGTTGATTAAAAATAATCTGTTGATAAGTAACGTGCAGTGGCTATTACAAATTTTTATTTTTTTAGAAAAGTCAGATCGCAGTGAGAAAGCTCTCACCGCATCTAGATAGATGCGGCGAGAAAATACTGTTTTCAGCGTTTTGAAAACTTATAAGCTACCAAAATACAGTTTACCCAAACAGATCATGTGTATTTTCAAAACGCTACCACACCAAATAAGCTGTCCCAAACAGACGTCCCTGCACTCACAAACTTGCCTTTAAGAATTAAATTTAAATTTGGATAATGTATTTTAATTCAACGTCAAAGCTAGTCCATTATTATTTATTTATTTATTTATTTATTACATTTGGGCATCGCTCATAGACATATATAATAACAATTTAATATAGTTTGTCTGTAATTTCTTATTTATAATTATGTGGGCTTATCCGTTAGAAAATTCCGCATGCGACTTTTACCCCGCACTGAGCTGGCGCACAGCCACAGTCCTAGGAGCGCTGCAGCGACACGTACCCCCCATTTTCTGTCTGTCTCCCCCCTCCTGAGACAAATAAGCTCGCAGCTGGAGAAGAACCCACACCAAAACCCTAATCCGATCCCGCCAATGTCGTCTTCCCCCTCCGAAGAATCGACGAACAAAAAGATGAAAATGACCGCCGGCTGCTGGTTGAGAGAGCACACAGTCCGAGAGCTCGTGCGCGAGAAGCGCCGCCTCGTCGAGGTACCGTACAACGCGACCCTATCCTCCACCGTGAATGCACTCACCGCTAACAATATTTTGGCCGTACCCGTGGCCGCTCCGCCGGGCCGCTACATCGGTGCCGGCGGTTCGATGATTCTGGAATCTGATCCGGCGACCGGCGCTGTCAGGAAGCATTACATAGGCATCATAACAATGCTGGACGTTCTGGTTCACATCGCCGGGGATGAGATAGTCGGAGATGACGATGATGTTGATTTCGATGGTAAGATGGCGATGCCGGTGTCGTCTGTTATTGGACATTCTCTTGAGGGGCTTACCTTGTGGACTCTCAATCCTAACACAAGGTGTGTAAGAACTAATTTATTAAGTATCTGGCTATTGCTTTTAATTTTTATTATTTTCTTCTTTTTATTGTCAATTTTGTTAGAAAAATTTAATGTGGGCTCGTATATAAATTCTAACTATATATTAAATATTATTATTGTTGAATTCAAATATGTCCGGGAGTCATGCCCAAGGAACATAGGGTAGGACAAGAGGGTGAGAGAGAGCAATGAAAAGTAAAATAATTTTTTTATGGAAGAACTGATCTCCTATAGGTGAGGGGCTACAATGTATATAATTGCATGCTTACCACTTCTTTAATTGGAGAGTTACATGGTCTTTTAGGTATTTACATAAATGAGTTTATAGTTCTGCTACCCTATTACTCAGTCGGTTGAGATCGGCTCATTCATCCAATTATGTTGAGTTGTGGTTTTCAGTCAGACTTGGCTTGATCAACTTGAGTCAACTATTTAGCTTTTCTAGTTCAGTTGTTAACTATCGATCCCAGGTGGGAAGAGTTTTCGTTGATAGTATTAAATTGGGTCATTGACTAGAGGGTGAATCACCGAAATTCGACGAGTAGCTTGCATATTGGCAAAGAGTACTTCAGGATGCTCTTGAAGTATATCATGTTAAACCGTTAGCCTTCAGATGAAGTGTCTTGGAGGCTCTCATGAGACAACTGACGAAGCTAGGATAAGAGTTGAGCCGATGCTTTCTCTTGGCTTGATGAATCTTGGCCTTTGGCTCAGACGGCGTGCGTTTGGTCGACTTATTGCCCCGAGCTAGGGGTTATGTGCTTGATAAATCAAGTTTCTTGATTTTCTAATGTTGGATCTATTGGTCTTTTGTCTGTGGCCCCTCATGACCGTACTTTCCTATATCATAATTAGGTACACACTTTGATACATTGCTATTTACAAAACGAACCCCCATGTAATTTTTTGAATTGTGAAACCAATGCATTTACCCTTGTAATGATCAAATCAATGAGAATTTGATAAAAATGAAAAATATAGGATTGAGGTTTTATCTGATAAAATTTGATACTTTATTGAGAATTTAAAAAAAATGATGAAAAACAATGCTTGATTTATAAATAACAATGTTTCTAGTGCAATATATGTAATTGCCCAATTTTAGTGTAAAATTTGTTATCTATGGACTCACTTTATATAATTTTGAAATAGAGTCATTATTTTCAAGCTAAATTGCAACAATGTTTCTAGTGCAATATATGTAATTGCCCAAATTTAGTGTAAAATTTGTTATCCATGGACTCACTTTATATAATTTTGAAATTGAGTCATTATTTTCGAGCTAAATTGTTGGGTTTAGATGTGGAAGGTTGGGTACCCTATATTTATATTCCGATGGATTGGAATACATTTTTGCCTAAATTTACAAGGCGATTTAGCACTTTTTTCAAAAAAAAATTTGAGCCCAAAAGACAATATATGTGATTCAAACTCCAAGCCTCATGGTGAGAAATTAAACTCTCAATCACTATGCTACGGGTAAGTGCGTTTATTTTTCATCATTAATTATTAATTATAATTTTTTAGTGAGATTATTATGTTAATTAGTTGATAATTTTTTTCGTTTTTCTCTGTTGAGTTATTGCCATTCAAACAAAACTTAGAGAAGTCGGTAATGTTTCTATTGGTTGATTGTTTTGTTATGTATGATCAGTGATTCAATATTGTCAAGTCAACCAAATCCTTTCATCCTTTTATTAATGAAAAATTTAATAATATAAGACATGGATATTTTATATATGATAAGAAATTTATGTTGTGATTCAAGCTTTAACACTTTTTATTGCCACCAAAAAATTATTGTACAATCGACCTTCATTCATTGAAATAGTTACAATCTCACTAAAATTGAACTGCATATGTTAGATGGATATCTTTTTATTGAAGAAGATACCTTTATTCACAAGGCCATTATTCCATAATGGTAGCAATGGATTGATTTGCAAAAGGAAAGTTAAAATATTGGTATTTTTGATGTGATGTGAAATATTTGGATGCAATAGATGTAAAAAATTAAAGTTTAGGTATTATATATGTAAATACATAGGGATCGAATTGTATGCATGCAAATGGCCCTTCACAAAAATATCACACTTTACACCGTTTATAAAATGATAAACTTGCAAAGTGAGTGTATATTTCTCAAGCTAATTTTGGCCATCTATACAGCATTCTAGATTGCATGGAAACATTCAGCAAAGGAGTGCAGTGGGGGCTGGTTCCAGTAGAGAGCCAAGGCGACAGTGATGCTGCAGTGGAGCTGGTGAAAGCTTCGCCTGGCTACAGAATGCTCACACAAATAGATTTTTTGAATTTCTTGCAAGTACATGTGGATGAGCTGAAGGACATTATGACATGCAGTGTTGGAGAATTGGATTTAGTCAATGAAAATGTTTTTGCACTGACCGAACACACAAAAGTTTTAGATGTAATCAGATCCATGAGGAGTTTTTCTCTGGCCATTTTTCCTGTTGTTGATGCAGATGCTGCTGTTGATTCTGGGGAGAAAATTGTTCTTCAAGATGTAAGACATCTCATCTTAAGCTTATTTACGTTAAATTAAACAGTGCTTTTGATGGGGGGACTAATTGGGGTCAAAATTTTAAAAAAATCAATTAGCTAAATTAGAGCACCACAAAACTGTGGACTAATAGTCGGGGGACTACTTTGAGCATTCAAAATGGATATGTTTCTAGTACTGCTAACATTGTCTATTTGTTATTTGCTACTTTATTAGCAATTGTATAACTAACATTGTCTATTTGTTATTTGCTACTTTATTAGAGAGCCAAGGCCCAAATCTATTAAATAAAATATGCTACTTTGAACAACTTACATCAATGCAATTTAGAGAACTTCATGCATTTTTTTGACCTGCACTTAAAGGGAAGAGGAAAGAGGCTCATCAGCACGTTCTCAGCAACAGATCTACAACCTTGCTCAATTGCTCAAATCCAGTCCATGTTAAAACTCAGTGTTGTAGAATTCAAAGAACGGGATTCGGAAACTGTTGAAAAACAAAGGCAGAAACTCATCACATGCCATTATGAGACTACACTTGGTGAAGTGATCGTGGGGGCTGCTTTGGCTCATGTTCATCGAGTTTGGGTTGTGGACGAGCAAGGCCTGCTGAGAGGCTTTGTTTCTCTCGCTGAAATATTGGGAGCCATCAGAAACAAGGCATTGGCAACAGAAAATGAGTTACAAGATGTGGCTGCTACTGAACCTGCTATTTGAATCTCTTGAGGTAATTGAGCTGTTTTATACTTTTAAATCATCTTTTTGTTAGAAACTGTAACACAGTCTCAGAAACCACTCGTCCCATTCATTGCAGAGCTTGAAGAGAGGAAGATGAATGAAGTGTAGCTTTTTAGTTCTTGGAATAAATAAGAGCTCTCTGTTTTTCAAGAAGAAAGCTCTTTTTTCGACTGCTGCTGCTGTAGATGATAACTTCCAGAGGGAAGTAAAGAGAGAAAATTTGGAAGTGTTTTGCTGTGCTTTTTTTGCTTCCATTTTGTTCAAGATAAGTTGTGTTATAGTCAAACCATGTTAAGGTTAACTGAGGCCATCGTGAAATAGACTCTGTTCATATTATAAGTTGTTCATGTTCAGTTTGAGCTCAAGTTTTCACATGCATATTTGTTTGTTTAGAATCTCCTATAATCAAACTTAGCTAGTACTTGCCTCAGCTAATTAATGGAACAATAATTCAAATGAGCTAATTAAAAAACTTAAGAATAGAACTAATGCTCGATCATCGAACATTCTTTCTTGGAAAAAAAAAAATTCCCTTGGATTTGAGCCTGACCTCTTGTTGTTTAGCCAGAAACAATTCAACCAAAAATCTATAGGCATCAAAACAACTTTCTGAAAATATCCTTTCTTATTGATCTTTATATACATAGCTGTAAAACTTAAAGAGGGCCCATAACGGAACAAAATATATAATTATATGGCTGACAAAACTGCATTTCCCAACTCATATTGGAAGACACTGTAAGAAATCACCTTGGAAACATTTCAGTGAAAGTAAGAGGACTAAAAGTGAACCGAGGAATGGAAACTGGAGATGTAGAAGAATTGGATTTTAGTTCTGGGATTAGTCCAGGCTTTGTTATTTCTTTCTCTTTGAGTCTTACAGGTTTACATAGCATTTGTAAGACTTGAGACATGGAAGGTCTTCTTCCTGCTGCAGCTTGGGTGCAGAACAGAGCAACTTTGATATATCTGAGGACCTCTTCTTGAGGGTAATGTCCGAGAACCGGATCAATTAACTCTGAAAGATTTTCTAGTTCATATAGCTCCCATGTCTATAAATGCACATTAAGCTTAGTGAGAAAGTCATCTATAATAAGCATGCATGAATTTAATGATTTACAAAACTTCATCAAATAGTAATTGGTAGAAAAGGAAAAAAAAAAAACCTCATCTAAATTGGTTCGATGGCCAATAGATTTTCTCTAAGATTATTGTAAAACATTCAGTCAAAATAAAAATAACACTTCATATAGCATACACCAGAAAACAATGAAGAAAAAGATAATAAGCTAGCCCTAATGATAATTAGGGTTAGGTAATTATGATGATAATGATGATTATAGCAATGCCATAAAAAGACAAGTAAGAAAATAACGTACCCATTCCAGCAGAAGCTTATCATTCCCATACAAATAAGGCTTGGAACTACTCTTTCCACTTATAATCTCGAGTATAAGCACACCAAAACTATATGTATCAGCTTTCTTGGTTAATTGTCCTCGCATTGCATACTCAGGAGCCAAATAACCACTGTAAAAAATATATTTTTCTTGATTAGATTTTTTATTTTTTTTCATTTCTTAGACTGTGTGGTTACTTAAATTGAATATTTTATCTCTTGCAAGTAAATTGCCATACATAAAATTAAAAAAAAAACATAATTGCTGGCATTCTTTGCCGTGTAAAAACTATCATGAATGCAAAATATCCCCTATTTTAAGATCTATATGAGCTATAAAGAAATTGTTATTAGAATATGGTGTTTATTGGAAATACTATTAGAAAGCCACTACTATATTAGCAGAAATTGTTATTAGAATATGGTGTTTATTGGAAATTTAGAAAGCCACTACTATATTAGGTGGTATGTAATTTGGGGGAAAAAAACATACATTTACTTTTGCTCGATTGTGTTTTCTCCATTTTATTTTCTTTTTACTATATCCTTCCCATACGCATATTAACAAGCATCATATTTAGTGAATAAGAACATCCAAATATTTCTATAAGAATTTGGTTGAAAATTCAAATTATGAGCGACCATGTATCAGAAGCCTTAAGAATTCTCTGAAAACAAATCATTAAATAAAAGAGATTTAGAGACTTACGGAAATTTCAAATCAAAGTTGATTCGAAAACCAAATGAGCGGGGCATTACATTCATATCATACAATTCTTATGTATTTACATATGCAACACCTAAATTTTCATATTACATGCATAACACTCAAATCTTTAATATCACATAAAAAATATCGAAATTACTTAGTTTTTAAAAGTGAAGTATATCTTTTCATGCACAAATTTATGACACCAGTTTTGTAAATATAAATAGGAATGATTAGATGTTAAATATATAAAAACATATGAATTGAGTGGTATGCATGCCAATTTCCCAAATGATAGACTTATCCAATTTATCAACTTCATAAACATATTTTCTAACTTCAAGCAATTGAATGACTTGACGAAAATATTTTGCTCACGTCTGGGATGTTTATTACTTACGTTGTTCCAGCAACACGCGTGACGATATGACTAACATTATCAGGAAATAGCTTGGCCAGACCAAAGTCACCAATTTTAGGAAGAAAATTCTTATCAAGAAGAATGTTGCTTGCTTTAATGTCTCTGTGGACTATTTGTAATCCGGCTCCTTCATGGAGATATGAGAGACCTTTAGCAATTCCAATACAAATTGCAGCTCTTTTGTCCCAATTCAATTTATATTTTTCACTATTCAAACCTGCAAATTGACATTAATGATTAATTTTGATGAGGCACCATAACAAAGATATGTATTTATCAGCATAAAATGTCACATTATCATATTTGAAAGGTTGAATTATATTTTATTTACCTAACAATGCATGATCAAGGCTTTTATTTTCCACATACTCATAAACCAAAATTCGGTTCGTGTCTTGCACACAACAGCCGACTAAACGAACGAGATTTGGATGATTGATAGTTGTGATCACATCAATCTCGGTCAAGAATTCATTCACTCCTTGCTTTGATTGTGCAGACAGGACCTTCACAGCTACTGCTGTGCCATTTCTAAGAACTCCCTGTTATATGTGCAGATGCAGTAGGTAAAAGAGTCCTAAATGGCTAAAGCAAAAGATCCATTTATTTATTTACATGTATGTATGTATGTATGTATGTATATTTATTTATTTATTTCTGTGTGTTTGCGTATCAATTTGGGTTAACGAATTGAGTTTAGCGCTAATCTGAATTAACATAATCTAAACATACATAATTTGAATCCGTCCATTATTAAACGGGTCAAAAAAGTTGACCCAAGCCTGACTCTCCTATAACATGACTAATTTGAATCTGACACAATTAATCCTTTTAATATATTTGTAAATAAAAGGAAGTAATACAAGTAGCAAACATTAATGTGTGAGAAAAGATGCCTCACCAAATGGTAAATGTGAACCAAAAAAGAGAGTTAGATAAGAAAGTAATGCCTTCGAAATTAAACGGATCAACGTCGAAGCAACCCAAAAATTAATTTGTCAACCTGATATTGAATCCTGTTCATTGCATCGCATGCAGTTCATATCGGGTCGTTGTTTTATGTCATATATATATATATATATATATATATGTATATATCTGTGTGTGTATGTGTATATATATGTATATTATTTGCGAGGATGAAAAGGCTTTTATTATTGCAATACTTTACATCCTAGATAGATGACTAAATCAAACATTAAGAAATGTATGCACAATACATTGAGAAGAAATACAAAATTTTGTTTAGAAATCAAACCAACTTAAATTTTTTATATGCAGATTCTAAAGGAATTTAAAGCATAGCACAATTTGCTTAGGAAAATAAAAAAAAAATCTTTAGTAGCCAATTAAAAACTATAATAGTAGTTCAAAAACAAACATTGGTAAAATGGCCTTTAGACGCACAAAAACACACACACAAAAGGCTATGAAGCTGTATGACTTGGTTTACCAGAAAGTGATCAATGTTTGACATGGTAATATAATATCATGATTGGTTTAATCACAGGAATAGCTGAAGAGAGACTGCAATCACAAGTATTCATGAAAAAGAGAAAGAAATAGACTACAAAATGTACCTTGTAAACACTTCCAAAACCCCCATGGCCGATCTTATTGCTCAAGCAGAAGTTTTGGGTTGCCAACTTCAGTTCATTGTAAGAGAAAAGCCTAAGCTTCTTTTCACTTGAAATTTCTGAAAAAACCCAAAATAATTAAAAAAAGGCACTTTATAAGTGGAAGAAAATTAATAGGAAATCTCATAAGCATGGAAATGCATCAAAAAGTGTTTTTTTTTTAATAATTCAAGACAGTTGCTACATTTGGGGTGAGTAGAACAATAAAATTTCAAATGAAAACTAAATGGAAGATGATTCAAATGCTTACTACTGATCAATTCTTATGTATTTACATATCTTATCTAATATGCCACCTTACATATGCATTAAAAGGTATATTTCACTACTTAAAACTTAAAATAGTGGTATTTTTTTATGTGATATGAAAAATTTGGACAGCATAAATGTAAACGTTAAAAGTTTAGGTGTTAGATATATAAATACACAAGAATTAGGTGGTATGTATATGAATGCCCCAAAGTAAATATTCAAGAGAAATAGACCATCAACCTCAACATCTCTCTTTATGCAAGAACATACTTAATAACATATTATCTTAGATCCAACATGAAATTCTAAAAAAAACTAATCAAATATCCATTGCTTACCAGCAAAATCTCCATGAGGCCTTTTCCTCGCACCAAAGCAGCACAAGTTGAAAATCATATTATACTCTTTACAGTATTACCAATCTTCAAGTAGTTTGCAGAGGAAGATCCAACGATTGCCCTACAGTTAGAGGAGGGATTGTTTAAAGAATTTTATCTCAAAATTTCAGTAAAAATCTCTGATCTTACAAACAAAATTTACGGGCAAGTATGCTTTCTGAAATAAACAGGAAATTGTGATGTCGAATTTGAAGGATGATGTTTGAACATAAAGCACTGACAAAATCTTTTTAATCCGTTGAAGCAATATGATCGAAACATTCTATTCAAGCAAATCCTGCTCCAGAAAGAGCTCAGGCTATGCATTACATAGGGTTTTCCAGTAATCGCAATCAACAGAAATCTCGATATTTTTCACCCTTAAAATCGAAACCCTAAAAAAGCTATAAATCGACAAATCAAAGTGCTTAATCTTATCACAGATGTGGGATATGGCTAGTATTTAAGACATTGAAATCATGAAAAAGAGGAAAGGAAACAGGGCTTAGAACCCAAACCTGCTTCAGTATAACCAGTGAAGGAAGCAGGTGGAGTCGCCTTCTTACTCCGCCGCTCCATATCCAACTCCTTATATGCTGTGGAGTCTATTAGCTTCCAAGAACTGAATTTGAACATCCCGATTAAATAAATAATAAAATCCTGAGAAGCCGAATATATATATATATATATAATTGTAAAATAGTAATTATTTTTTAAAAACTTTATAAATGTATGATATTATGTGTATCAGATTGTCAAGCTGTATCAGATTCGATCAAGTCATAAGCAAGAACAATGAGAAACAGAAACCACCACCACTAGTAAAGCC